TGGACAATATCCATTCATCCTGGTCAATACTCTGTATACATTCCATAGATAGAACCCTATTCGTGCGTGGGCGGCAAACCGGAACCTCAAGGGTCCGAAGACCGATAATCGACGGGGCAGAATGGGAATCTCGGCCCGTTCCCCACACGGGTGCATCGGGGGCTTTTGCTTAAGGTCAGGGTCGATCCTGAATCCGCACACCATTCGGCGCAAGGCTTGGCATTTGCAGCCACAAGCAGATGCTTCGGAAGCTTGCAGCGCATCAATTTCCTCCAAATGGACATGAAATTCCCCCGAAGAGACCAATAGTAATGGCGCAACTGCTCGAAGCTCGACCTTTAAGAATTCCAAAATCGTAGGCCAATCGGACATCCGCAAGTTAGCAGTCGTGGATACCCGGGCGCCGCCACATGGGGCCAACATAAACGAAGGAGAGGGCACGCAAATCACTGACCATAAAATATGACTCGTGACCAACCACAAGGTGCCAAGTAGGATTTGGGGCTTGAGGGTAATATCTAACCCACCTATCCACTTAAATCTTTAGCGACAAGGATACCGGCTGCGCGACAGCTATTGAGTTTCATGCTCCAAAATTCATTGTAACGTGACAGAAATATATGTACTATATGGTAAGAAGAGCATTACCCTGGGGTATTGTACGGTCATATGAATATAGCTACACCACGTAAATGACAATATCTCCGCACAACTAGAGGAAATTGTTGATATCGGCCTCATCGATACTTCAGATCAATGCCTAAAAGACATATCTGAATCCCCTATTCTTTAGATCTGTGGTATCGAGCAGCTGTGTCTGGGCAGCGACTTCACGTTTCTCTTGGTCCTCGGACACCGTCTCCGCCACGTGCTGCTTGTCGCGTCTAGCGTTTGTCCAACGCAGATAGAATAGAAGGGTGAATCCGTCAACGACACATACAATTAAGCAAATAATGATAGCGAGAAATCCACTCTATCATATGATTAATAATGTTTGCAGTAGGTGGTGAAAACAGAGTTGAAAACATACCTGATATTTTGGTGCTTCTCTCTCGAAAAACAGCTGCGGACCGATGATATTACCGGTGCAGTACATGATGAAGTAAATCGCACTAACGGTAGCTTTCTTTGTAAAACCACCTATGTTGGAGCTAATCATTGCCATCGAGATAGGCATTGCAACGGAGTAAATTCCCATGAGAAGCAGGCCCGCGTAACGGGAAGCCACAGAGCTGGTGGCATAGACGAGAGCACTACCCAGGATACTGTCCAAGATTTTAGCGTCTTTTGGGTTGGTTCCTTTGAAAAGGGGAATTTTGTTACCTTATCACATTGCATCCGACCATAACGAGACACCGAGTATTAGGCACCTTTGATGAAATGACACCCCTAAGGCCTATTTCAGAACAACGCACACATAAGATCCCAAGAGAAGAACTTACGACAGCAACACAAAGATGAAAACAACCACACCACCTGGTATACCAAGCAACAGTGTGTGGAAAGTTGAAAAGCCGAACCCTTGTAGAACCAATCCGTTGAACTGCAACATATCAGCATGGAACCCTTAAGTATATTATGGCCTTTCATTATTAACTGACCGCTGTAAAACCACCGTTTGGAATATTGCTAGCCAATATCAAGATTGCAAGCAACCAAGTCTTGACATCTGTGAAAGCTTCCATAATCTGCGACTTATCAATAGTCGAGTTTTTGAACCCAGTCTGGTTTGCTTTAAGTCGCTCTATTGCAATCAGCCTTTCCTCTTCGGTGAGGAAACTTGCGGTAGTCGGGGAATCGGGGAGTCGGAAAAGCATGACAACCCCCCATAGGAATGTAATGATTCCAAAAATGATGAATAGCCACTGCAAGATAATGTGAGTGATGGTGGCTAGAGATTAGATCCTTCGAAATATTTCAAGTGCTCACCTGCCATGCCTTGAGACTATTTTCAATCTGCAGTATTCCAACAGCGATCAAGTTGCCAAAGATCAATGATAAGGAATTTCCACAAAACCAGATACCATGACGAAGTGGCTGTTCAGATGTCCTGTACCAAAGAGAAGTGATCAATGTAAAGCCTGGGGATAGGCTTGCTTCTGTACACCCGAGAAAGAAGCGTGCCACCATCAGACCAGCAAAGTTCGTAGTAGCTGCATGACAGGCCAGAACTACGGCCCACGAAATGCTATATTTTGTTAGCCCTCATGACTGGTCTAATAGAAAATGGACCACGAACAAGACCGTAGAAAGATATTTGCCGAGTGGGAACTTGACCATCAACAAGGATGCCGGGTAGCTGGTAGTTATCAGCCACGAGTCAAGTTCATCTTCAAGGAAGGGAATCCTTACGAGAAGAACAAGTATCCGAAGTAAAATATGCTGGACGACCAACTATACTGGGAACCGACTAGATGAAGGTCCTCTCGAATACCCATAATGGAGGTGTAGTTTAATGTTTGCTTATCCAGGAAAGCCATCATATAGGCAAACACCATGATTGGAAGAACCCTAGACAAAGATCATTAGTGAATCTCTATGGGAAAGTTCTCGCTTCTCAGAGATACTCACATGAAATCAATTTTCCGAACCAGCTTTTTCTCTGCGCTGACAGAAAATTGGAATGAACTCTCAAGGGCACCATTTTCAACGCTTTGGGCGTCCACTTTATCATCGTACCGTTGTTCCTTCTTGGTTGAATCTTGTGACATTTTGGAAATAATGAGGAGCAAGAAGAAGCCGCAAATAGAAGCTGAACCGAAGAGTGTCCTGTGCAGCAAGAAGCTGTCTATTTATGTAGGAGGCACGCTTCCCAGTTGGCATGCTTGGCTTTGATACGAAAATAAAGTTTTCCCCGCAAAATCAAAAGCCTAGATAACAGAAGGGTGAGATATCTCTCATCTTCCCATTGGCGGTTTCGGCAAACTAGTTAGACCTTGGCATTGTGCGGGCTGGGAAGATACCAAGAATTGCAGCCGGAGCTATATCCGATATCTGATTGGTCTTCTGATTCTAGACTATTTCTCCAGATAACAAGCTGTCCAGTCTTGTTGTACTATGAGGGGTATACTTATCAGGAGCAATGTTCTCATCAGAGGCGTTTCATATACAAGACCCGAAAGACTTCGAAGATATAATTAAATCTGTATACGTTTGAAAATATAATCTCGGCTTCAACATTGGCTTTGTCACTTTCGCACTTAATCAACTCTCCTCAAAGTTTCTCTTCACATCCTCGGCAAACTTATCATCAACAATGACTTGACAAGCAACTACGGCCATTCCCGCTGCACAGGCGAGTGCCCTCTTGAAGCCCTCCTCCGATCCGGCACCTTTGGTAAATTGGGGTGTGTGGTTGACTCCCTCGGTGGGAATAGTGAAGATACCGTGAAATCCAGGGACGGCATATGAAACGTTCCCTAGAAGGTCACTTAGCAAATGCATTTCGCACCGGAGGGGCTTTGAATTTGATACATACCCATATCGGTGGATGCTCCGGATAATGTGCTCTTTTGCGACGAGTTATCAAGTAAAGTGTGGTGCCCCATGGCACGCATTACAGACACGTAGCTTTCACAAATCGGCAGGTTTGTTTTTAGATCGTCATATGAGATGCCCCTATGGATATAAAACGGTTAGTTGCTTCTTAATACCAGTTCGAAGCATGTGAGCACACCAGTCAAACTCAACCTTACAGCCAGTGGCAGTCGCAGCAGCCTCAAAGCATTTGATCACTTTTTCCGTCAGAGGCTTGAGTGTCTTCTTGGTCGGCGAGCGAATATAATATTCTACAGTCGCAGACATCGGAATAATATTGGGGCGGTCACCGCCATTGATAATGACTCCATGGATCTTCTGGGTCGGAAGAATCTGCTGTCGAAGCATTGAAATGTTGACATATGCCGAGACAACAGCATCCAGCGCATTGATACCCTCCCAAGGGGCAGCAGCGGCATGTGCTGGCTTGCCAGTGAAAGTGACTTTGACTCTGTCGTTGGCGAGGTATCCGCCTTCGAGGATGGTTGCCATCCCCATCAGCTCGGGGTTGTCTAGCACCATCGGGACCGGGTGCACCATAAGGCAGGCATCTACACCCTTGTAGGCCCCCTTGTTGAGCAGGCGCACCTTTCCAGCGCCGGCCTCCTCGGCTGGAGTGCCCATGAGACGGAGGGCAAATCCTTTGCCGGATGATAGTTGTGATTGGGCTTTCATAGCCTCACAGGCGGCAATGAAGGCAGCAATCGAGCTGGTTGCGATGAGGTTGTGACCACACGCGTGTCCAATTCCGGGAAGAGCATCATATTCGGCGTTGAAAGTCACAACACGGCCTCCAGTTCCGTGTGTGTATTCAACCTCCAGAGCAGTTTCGAGATCATACGCTTTGCGGGTGACTGAATAGCCTTCAGATTTGAGACTTTCGAAGAGCTCGCAAATGTTGTTGTGGGCATCAAACTCTTCATATGCGAGCTCAGGGTTCGACCAAATCTGACTTGATGTAAGTAATCTCCTCCGCACCGGTCCGGATTTTGGCCTTACTTTATGATTGATATCTTTCAACTGCGAATCGTAGCGGCGCAGCGCATCCTGCACGCTGTCGAGGAATCGGCTTTTAGATTCAGAAAATTGCATCTTCCTGTTATCAGTGAGGAGTGAGGGAGTTAGATTATCGTTATGTTCGCTTCTTAAATAGATAAGTTTTCCCCAACATTTTCCTATAGTTAGGTGGAGGATAGGCGATCGTCACGATAAACCAGTGGATTGACCAATCAAACGGCGCTCACGCGATATGCTCTCCCGAGGTCGGCAGCACATGGGGGTAGCCGACCCAGCCAATCGGCATCGTTGACTCGGCTCCAGCGTCAACCTTGGAACCTGCCGATAACCAAGTCTTCCCCGCCTCTTTCCCCTCATATCTTGTTGTCTGCTTTTTTAAGGTCTATTAGGCGAGCGTTGTTGTATTTCAAAATTGTTCCTCAAGCGTGTGAGCCGAGACAGATGCAACATTTTATGAACCCCTTCGCCTTAGTCTGGTTGAACAACAATGCATAAACCGGGGAAGACGCGTTCCAGGACAGGCAAGGATCCACACTCTCTCCCTTGCATCAAACCCCGGGGTTAACAGCTCGTGAAGGTTGCCGAACTTGCCGTGTCCGCAAAGTCAAGTGTGACGAGGAAAAACTACCAAGTCAAGCGCACAAGGAGCCACAATGTAGGCGGTGCTTGGCCGCGCGAATCCTTTGCGAGTGGAAAGGCGACCCGATCCCGCGTAGGTCGACGCATACCTCAACAGATATATCCTCCAAAAGACTCCCAAAGGCTCATGCCAGCAGTACGAATCACTCCACAACTACATGGAAGGAATCTCATCTACAAATTACATCATATACACAGCAATCACTTTCAACTCGAAATCCACCTTTTGTGCAAGGTCAGAGCATCCAGGCTGCGAATTCCTTGTCACTGTCAGAGTTCGACCGCGAATGCTTGGGTTATATTCAGGATTCAATCTTGGTCGTAGTTCTCGGAAAGCACTGGCCATGGTCAACTGTCTCTTACGCGTACCACAAAATAGCGACTAAAGAGCCTATGGTCATGAGCATGATGTTGGCTAGTGCTGCGAGGGAGATCTACCGGTCTAGACTTTATGACATGGAGAATCCCGTCGGGTATCTGTCGAGCAGTGAACGATCAGACATGGATGGCAGGATACATTACGGGCGAGCTTTGTCGAGTCTCAGAGAAGCTCTCAAGCAGGAGGTGAAATCTCCACAGCAGATCGAGGCTATTTTCATCACACTTTGGTTGATGATAGATTATGAGAACCGCTTTGGCAGCGGTGCATCCGCGATCAATATCCATATCCGCGGTATTGAGACACTTCTCTACAACCACATTGTCCCTTTGCTGCCAGCTGCCATTGCGGAAAGTCAAGTCCTCTTGCAGCAACCTAAAGCCAACATAAACGTTTCTTCTTTGGGTGAATATGCAAGCAATACAGACTCTGCTACTCTTGCTCCACCTGCAGGGCCGATGGACGGACTTGGTGGCACGTGCGTCCCCCTTTTCCTTCTTTTGACACTCTACTTCTTCACTCCTGCAGCTCTTTTCTTTGGCTCTGGAACTGCACGGCTGGACACGGACATCTTTCGGTTCTTCTTACGATCTGAGGCCGGAAATACTGCGCCTAGCCTTTCGGATCTCTACAGGCTGAGCAGGCAGTCCCCTTCCCGCTTCTGGGGCGATGGATACCCTATGTCGTCGCAGCTGGATGATTTAGAAAATCTTCCGGGCTTGACACTATACCACCGTAGCCATGTGGTTCAATTCGAAATTACAGAAATGTTCAAACATAGTTCTGGTCCAGATATCAGCTTCGAGGAAGGTTCTCCATACCAGCGGATCGCCAGAGAAATAAAGACACTGTCCATTGTGAGTCCATGCATTGCAGCTATTGACCATCAATTATCGTCAATTGCCAGTTTCCTTCCTCTAACCAATCAATTTAGGAATATGATACCCTCCTCACCTCAGCCAAAATGGCCACCTCCTGCGATGTCGCTGGCGATCGTCGCGTTATGGAGACCATTTTCTGGTCAGCTATCACATATTACGGCACAGTTGTCTATTTTCATCTCTGCTTCGAAGATCTCCTGACCGGTCGGCCCGAGTTACAGAGCTACAATCAAAGCATGCTTCCTCTAACCACTGCCGTTTCCTTAGTCCTTGAACTGAGTTTGAAACTGCACCGAAGCCGGCCACGCCTTTTAGTCCGGATTACCTGGCCATTATTTATCGCAGGCATCGCAACTTCAGACCGAATTTATCAAGACTGGGTGTCTATTCGGCTACGGGAGCTTGGAAGATACGGGCAAAATTATGATCGGATCAGTAGACGCTTTGATGAAATTAGCCAGGGAGATCACTCTCACTCTTACTTTCATTGAAGAAGAGGGAATTATTATTTAAGTCCCTAGTCAAATACATTTTCAAACTCATATAAGACGAAAGGTCACACCATATATACTTGAAGCCGCCGCTCTAGCGAATTTTGAGGACCCAAGCACAGTACTGCCAACGCATATTCTACAGAAGAAATATACATGTTAGCGTCTCAATCACCAATGGAAGCCTGCACTCACTTCGTGTGCGCGATAGAGTTGGGCTGCTTAGTTGTTTTGATGAGGACGATTTTCACTTATTTGCTTTCAACTCCCAGTGACGAGCTCACAAGACATGGATAACTTTCTGTCCAATTACTGATATCCTGAACCAATCGCGAGATGGATGCTCTGTCTCTGGGGGACCTGGCTGGTAGACGTAAGGTTCGAAGACTTGGTAACACAATAGATAGTAAGCGAAAAGGCATGTGTGCGTATCAGGCGAGTCAATTCAAGTTTTTGAGTTCCAGTGGGTACTAAGAAAATCGACTAATGAAACTTGAGGTCTTGAACATCTCTTTGGCGCTTCACCGGCATACCGTTTCGATCTGTACGTAGAGTTCGGCAAAACCACTCACGACTCTCGTTTGATTGAGTCCACTTGAGGATAGCAACAACACGAACATCAGAGCAGGAGAGATATGTCACACGGAGAGAACAAGACTAAGAGCTTGATGATCTAGGGGTTGGGTGAGGAGCAAATAGGAGAACCAATTCCCATTCCATGATTTTAAGTTATTGTACCATCATCTGATATCGTTCCAACGTTGCTGAGCGACTCCAGAACCGACAAGAGCCATTGAAGCAATGATAGGGTTCTTTGAGGCAATGACAGCAATGATGAGAAGAAAACACAGCTAGTTGGCCGTGTTCAAGCGATGATCCTCCCACCTCACCGCTGCACCAATGACAAGTCCCTGATTTGGGAGATATTGTCTGTCACCGGCGCACACTTTTGCGCGAAGAATGTATAAAATTTTGAAATCATACTGCCGTAAATATAATGAGTTTCTGATGGAGAAGAAAGACGAAGGATAGTCTGCATGCTCGACGCCAGCATTCTTTCCCCAAATGCGATGGTAGTTGTGGCCTAGTTGATACAGGGAAGACGCGTTTGACTTTCTTAAAACCAATCATCGTTTTAGGCGTATGTGGGGAAAAGGTGTCGCCCCGAAGAAAACTTCGCTGAATGACTTTCCAGAGAGTTGTCACGCGGTATACACTTGTATTGCAGTCATGAGAACCGAGACTAAGACGGTACGAGATCTGAGTGCTTACCGGTGCAGTGCTTTATTGGTCTGTCACAGAGGCAAGTGATGCAAAGGCGATAGGTTCAATGCTGAAAAGTTCCTCTGTTGAAGTGGAAGGTTTCTCTGAGTTGAAAAGTGTTTTTACTGCTCGAACTCTCTGCGTGAAAGATATCCCCGTACGCGCGATCTTGCGAGCGATCTTGCGATCGAGGTTCCCGGTTTGAACGTCCGCCGAGCCACGCACGGCTAACACATGTCTGGCAGTTGGATTGCTAGTAATAGTGCTTGCGGACGTAGGAGCAATTTTGTGATAATCTCTTTCTTACACTAGTTTTTTGTTAGGACTTCGTATGGCTATTCCCGATACAACTTACTTTGGGCATACCATTTCGGTTCCGTACTTGGTTTTCCATTGATAACCAGCAAGGAGAAGGGAAACACCCATAGGGAAGTCTTGACAAACCGAATAACTCCCAACCATGCGTCGTGGAATTTGGTTTTTCTGTCTCAGGGAGGAAAAGGACAGCTCGTACAGATTGTCGACCGCCCCATTACCAGAATAGAAGAAGACGAAGAGAGTGTACTTGGTTCTCCGATGGTTCGGCATAACTTCTTGGTGCATCCGGCCTTTCAAGTCCCTGCCTGGAGTGGGATCTTCGCTTTTCGGGATGTAAATCGGCCAAGGAATGCCGAATATGTCAATCATCATATGCTTCATCGCCGGTATTGTCGTCGTCCTCCCAACACATAGCAAAGGCTGTGATGGGTATGCTGATTTCCCCTCGCTTTAACTGCCCTTTCAAAGGCAGCTTTCAAAGCAGTTATGGCAGCCTTCATTAGTTTTCCCTTAACAGGGATTTGGAATTGCGAGGATGCGTGAGACGATGGACAGGATGCGTGACGATGGCGAGGTCGGTGACGACGGCGAGTCAGAAGTCCCAGACGTAGGAGATGCTATGATATTTGAACTTAAATAGTTCCTGTAGAAACGATCCGTCGAAATCAATATAAGATGGATGGTACAAAGGGAAAAATGAAAAGAATTCGGTTGCTTCTCTGAGATCGGCGGTTACCAAGGAGACGAGAAATAAGATGTGAGTGAGATATGAGGGAAGCGCGAGATCATTCTGGTGGTTGTGGCAGGAAGATGTTGCAAGTTTCGAAAGGTAAACAGAAGGAAACTACAACTTGCCTATTTTTCTCAGCTACGTCATGTCCGATATTATAATTCTTGGATAAGAAGCAAACCTCTGGGCTTGGGGAGGAGGTTTCTGCTAGACCGGAATTTGATTGTTAGTTGCGTGTCCCGTTCCACTTTCTAGCATCGAGGTTCCTTTTCATCGGGCGCTTTAGCCAGGCCTCAAATTAGGCAGTGCTAGATTCATTCATAGAGGGAATGTATATCACTGAGGCCTGAGTCCAACAGTTAATGTTGGCTCCACTGGAGTATAAAAGAAAACTTGGCAATTCTAGTGAAAGAAGGGGAAAGAAAGTGACTCCGGTGGGGTCAACGATTTTCCATAATAGCTATTTTGCCTTTAAGCCATAAATGAAGATGGAAAGAAACATAGTTCGATTGAAGTAATGGTTCCTTCTCACTCAAGCAATATTAGAGTGAGGGAAAGATCTGCTCATATTCTCTTACATTCCTAGCAAACCAGGTAAGTCATACACATCTGCGTGGACTCGGGGAAATTCAGGAGCGCTCCGATGGGACCGGATGCTCCTATGCAGATAACTGAGCCAATCATGTGACATCCTCTTGCCAATAAGAAAGACACAGCACTGAGTTCAGGACAGAGTCGCAACGCTCCAGACAATCTTTTTGCAAGGCTTTCATCATAACATTCCTGGTGATTGGCTTATACTTGCGGTAGTCACTTATTCCACCTGCAAATATGGGCAGATGCTCATTTCCTTGTCCTATCAAATCACCCAACAAGGAAATTTCGCAGACGAAACACAAACGCGGGGTCGCCAAGCCCCTAAACAGAAACTAACGCATGCACCCATCAGCAATGAGATCATCCAGCCGGCTAACCCCAGCATGGTGACGACGCCCTGAATAAGAGAAGAGATATGATAGGACAGCAGGTTGCTTAATTTGTCTGCCTGAAGTATCATATACTGTGTATGGTGGAAAAGTGAGGGACCAAGCGCACTCCTGATTCCTTTGGGCGATGGCGAAGTGGAGCGTCTCAGATCCTGGTGGATTCTTCAGCCGAGTGGACCAGTTTTCATTTTCTACTTCGAGTGACCTGTTTATTTGTACTGGTACACAATCTCAGGTGCTAGCGAAAGTACATTACAGTCATTCTCGAAATCGCAATACGCACTTAATGACTATTTTCTGGACCCATCCCAAGGCCTTAGCGCGGATTAATTGAGCCGGCTGCGTTATTTTGAGGGTGCGCAGTAAAATGCGCTTTGTATGTTACAGGACCTAGTGTAGTCGCGGATCCAGTGACATTGTTTATAAATAGGGTATTAAAGCGAGATGTCAATCCAAAACTGAATTCCGCAGCTGTCAAGGACTAATAAGGAACAAAGCTATGATATAGTAAGCAAAGTTCTATCCAGGTCAGTTGATTTATCAATATTGATTATCTCCTGCGCCATCATCCATCACATTCATCAGCACATCTACATCGAAGTGTGAGACCTTTGCCTTCGTCTTCTCTGGGATATCTTGAAGTGCTGCCTTCACCTGCTCAGTTATCCTTTCAATGACATTCCGTCTAATTTCTGAATTTTGGCCACTCATCCAGCGATTGAGCAAAAGGAACCCATATAAATCGAAAGAAAGACCAGGATACCCGCCCCCACTGAAGAGGGACAGAATCGGATTATAATGCCAAGTGTGAATTATCACTCTCTTCATGGACGCCATGATGTTGGAATATGACGGACCCTGCTCCTTATATATGATCCCCAGGTTCTGCAACATCTGCGGTGGGCTCAGACTGATGGGGGCGAATGGAGAATAATCTTCGCTTGGCGGAAAGAAATACTTCATCTTCGCCAGAAGCGGAACGTGGAGGAAGGCTGGAAACTCTAGAACCTCTAAACATGGGAACGAACCCACGATCTGTCGAAACATGTGCGCATTGTAATACCAAAGACCAAGGCATTCTTTAACGTAGAAGTTCTCCAGAGATGCCAGACCGGCTTGCACCCACTCATCAGTAACCTGGGAAGTGTCTGCCTTGCCATTCGGGAACCTTGCCCGACTGTCACCAACCTTCATGCCCAAAGCCCAGCATTCCTCGGCAAATGTACGCACGAGCTCTTTCGAATAGGGCCCGTATCCAAGATGGGAGGTTCTATTTCTCATAACATCCATCAACTCGTCATCCCCCCAGACGACGGCGTAGACATACTCGAACGAGATGGTGGATTTTGCAATGTCCTGTTGGAGAGAGTAGAGGTCCTTGAGCAAGTGCGGGTGACGAAGTTTGACCATACAATCCCTGAGCATCGGGAACGTTTCCATATCCTTATCAAGCAGAAGGCGACGAAGTCGGAGTACTATTCCTTCTCTGGTTTCTTTGCTGCGGAATACCAGGGGATGCAGCGCTCTTGTCCAGGAGCCGCAGACTCCACGGGTTCTGCTGGTAAGGTGACCGCTGACCGCCCTCGAGTCGTCAAAAGATTCCTTCCCCCATATACACCTCAAGGGGGACGAGGAGAATAACCAAATCCATATGGAGATAGATCTAGTCGTAAAGGCCAGAGGTGAAAGAGCTAGCTAAAAAG